CTCCAAAATTTTCACCAAACAGGAAGGAATAAAAACATAAAAATCTTTAATGGAATGCTATGTAGCCATTAAGTTTATGCTTTCAAGAAGTTTAACTTTATTTTGATTGCAAACATAAAAGGTAGTACAACGTTCAGACAGTACAGAATATTTAATGTAGAAACCACAAGCCACACCTACTGATCAAATCTGTTGCTATACTAAACCTTTTGACATCCACAGAATAACATTAAATTTTTATCGAAATGAGATCACATTAGGTGTTTTTCATGTGTGTGCTTTTAACTTTTTATTTTTTTAAGTAAACTTTATGCCCAACATGGGGTTGGAACTCACAATCCCAAAATGAAGAGTCGCGTGTTCTGCCGACCAAGCCAGCCAGGTGTCCCTTGTGTATGCATTTTAAAACCTAGTAATTTATGATGGTTATCATTCTACACTAGTACACACAGATCTATACCATTCTTTCTGAAGGCCATGTAGTATTCCATTCTACAGGTACACTTGTTTATTTAAGCTTGTTGGAAACCACTAACATAAAAAAACCTTTAAAGTATTAAATGAAAGTAACAGGGCATTAAATTGTACAGCATACATGGCCTTTATATATATATCTGTTTATACACACATAGAAAATGGTGAAAATGTCCACACAATGGAATATAAGGCAGTTTTTAGAAAGCAAACCTATAGATGGGAATGTATTTATATGGAAATTCTTGTAGATACTGTTAAATAGCTACAAAGTAGTACGTGTACACAGGCAAAGAAACATACCCATAAAAATGGAGACTAAAAACATGGTGGACACATTATCTGAGCTCTCCAGGTGGCATAATGCACCCTCCCTCCGCTCACCAATTACTTTCTCACATCCCAGGAACTTTACTCTTATAGCTTGAGTTTGAAATGTTAATGAACTGAAAGTGATCTTAGTGTGCTAAAAAAAAACAAAACAAAAAACACCACACAAGAGCAAACAACTCACAGGTATTTAAACATATGGAAGTATGTATAAACCAGAAGAAAACTTCCATTTAAACTTGTATAAACTATTCATAAAATGGGGAAAATAAAAATATAAATAATAAAAATCCTGCTTCTTTTTGTATTTTAATTTGAAATGTTATTCTAAGTTTACAATTGGGAAAAAATTTTTTGAATATAAAATTCAAAATAAATTCAAGTGCTGTTGATCTTTCCTTTTCCTTTCTGCCTATTACTGCTGAGCAGCACGTCCCCTGCTGTGGGGTCCCCAGGAAGTGGCCCCTGCTTACGTGACACCTCATCTTCCCCTCTGGCCATCTCGCACTGCTCCCATGGTGGCCTCCACTCGCTGTGTGTACATCCCCATCCAGCCTGTGCACCACCTGATGGTGCTCCACGCCCAGGCCCTCCCTCTGGCCTCACGATTCAAACTGAATTCTGGCCACATGGCAAACCCATCACCTTCATTTCCTGACTTGCAGGTGGACCCTTGCATACCCCTAGTTACTGAAGTTTCCGTATTTCCCTCTGCTCTCTGGAGTACATATCCTAGTGTGGGTTAAGTAGTAGCAAAGGGCAGGATCTTAAAAGGTCTGACCACATCTGGCAGGCAAAGGCAAAGGTGGAGACACAAAGGGACCAGGCCCTGCTCCTAGGGGCCAAGACCACCAATTCTAAGAGGAGGGAAAGAGAGGAGATGAATGATAGAAAGCAGACTCTCTCTCCACCCTGGGTAGAGGGGCTTATGGATTTTCAGCGTTAACCTCCAACATCACTTCTTGCATACGCTAGGTATCTAACCATGACATGTTATATGCATTATAAGCATTTTATGCAGAGTAAATTTCACGTGTGAGCTTGACCACTTAAAACCATAAGATAGTGGTGCCACCTGGACGACAGTGTGTCCACTGTGGTTTTGACTGTGGTATTTGTGCCATTCTTTGAATGTTTTATAGCATTTTACTTGTCTATTTCATAAAAATGAATAGAAAACAAAAGTATGGGCCTCACAATTAAGGTAACTGAAACAAGGATAGAATTCATCCTTGCTTGTGGGGTATCTTTGGCCTCGAACAACTGAATTGGGAAGAATTCAAAGAACACAGATCAGAGGCTGGAAAACGTTGACTGGGACATGTAAGGAGAGCTAAAGAAATCCTGTGACCCCACTGTTTGACCTCAGGTCCCCACATCCATTCAGTTGAGAAAGAAGCTCCATGAGAGCTTCTTCAACCCCATCTCTACTTACTTACTTGGGCCCCTCGTCACGGTGCACCTAGATTCAGCCCCCTCACTCATTCTACCTACCTCATCCGAGGGGGCTGGAATTGAGAACTTTAAAGTCAGGAAGCGAGGAAGTTACTTTCTTCGTTTCTTGGGGACAGCATGGTGTGTAGTCTCCTCTCTCTTCTCGTTTGCTCCATTCTCCTGCCTCTTTCTGCAGACCGACATTCTCTACTTCAGCATGCACGTGGTAAACGCTGCCCCAGTCCCAGTCCTACCTCACCTCCCGGTGACGCGCCCAGTGCTGACAGCCTCAGCAACCCAAGCTCGGAGGCTGCAAGCGCACACCACAGCTCAGGTTCTGTGGTGGTTCTCAAACTTGGGGTGCCAAAAGCCATCCGAGGTACTTGTGAAACATGTACCTGCCTTTCTAGGTGTGACAATCTAGAAGGCCTGTGGTTCTCTAGGAAAGAGGCATTCCAATAGGCACCCCAGTAACTATACTTTGAGAACCATGGCTCTAGGCTTAGATGTCCGGTCTTGTCTGATCAACCATGAACAGGAACATGCGGACAACAGGGGCTGCTGGGGGGCGAGGGGCAGTTTCACATGGGAATGTCAGCGAAGAGTAAAGGACCACTCTCCCTACCATACTGGCTATGACCTCCACCCTCTGGTCTTTTAGATGGCTCTTCTTCAATAATATCCACATCACCCTGGGCTTACCTCTATCACAAAGGCTTAGCACTTACCACACTGCAGCCAAATTTCCTTGTTGGTGTCCATTCTTGTGGGCTTTCCCCAGAAATTTCAGAAGAGAGGAAATAGTATCTAAAAGTTTTAGTTTAATGATCAGACCCCAATAGTTCAAGACGAATAAAGCTACTTTAAAGAGAACGTCTTCTGAGCCAGTATGACTTATCTGGCCATATTTTCACATCAGTTATTAGCTGATCAGTTTTTTCCCCCCAAAGGAGAAAGGACGTGACAAGACAGCCCACACAGCATGTACAGGAAAGGGGTACTCTAGTCAAACCTAATCTGAGTGGAAATTGGGGACTGTAGATAGGTGGCCTCTGGTGTCCTAGTTACCCTAGTACAAGCTTCACTGCAACTAGATGCTAGCACTAGGCTACCTTAAGGCCAGTGCTAGTAAACCTTCACATTCTCTCATTTTGATTCCATACTCACCAAGTAACTTTCTCATTATGATTTCACTGCCCATGTAGGTCTGCCTACAGGGAGAGAATCTGCTGAGCATACACACTTTTGAGTACTTGGGTCCCTGTTGTAGTTCTCTCCCACTATAGACTGACAAACCAGAACTGAGGAAACAGGAACACCGTACTTTAGTCACACTGGTTTTCAACATAAACTAGTATGTCAGTAGGGTTTACACAGGTCTCCTGAGCTTCATTAGTGTGGATCTACTAACACAGGATGAGTTCTTAGGCAAAATAAGGTTTCTGAGTCTCCACAGGCTTTAGGACCAGACAACGGATACTTGAAGCATTCACTGAGGCCAGGAATGAGCCAATCCACTGCCAGGGACCCACCAGGGATGGCACGTGAGCCTTCCTTCAGATGGTAACACACCATCAGCACAGTCACCTATTTTGGTAAGCATGTTTTCTTACTCCTCATTTAACTACAGTTCCCATTCAGCAGACGCTGAGGCCAGTGGTTACATCACCCACTTCCAGAGACACAAAGCCTGGCATGGTCCTATCCCAGAATGGGGGACAGTATCCATGTTTGCTGACGGAATCCATGTTTGCTATTTCACTCAGTTCCCCACATGATGTGATTCACTGTACCTCATCTGAAGCAGTCAGCAAGGTGTGAAAGAAGAGTACAGACCCCACTAAATCTTTCAGTAGCTCTTTCAAATCCATCCGCCTCACTTCTCTCTCTGCTCTGACCCTAATGCAAGCCATCATCCCTCACCCAGTCACTGCAGTCACTGTTTCCACCCTCCCTTCTGAACCCTACAACAGGTGATATTTTTAAAACACAAATCTGATTCCCATGTTACTTTTATGGCTAAAACATCTCAATAGTTTCCCACTGTGCTTCATGTCAAGCCAATATACTTACCACTCACTGAAAGGCCTTTCACACACAGCACCAGCTGACCTCTTCCCCACCTTGATCAAATGCCACTCAATTCTTTCTTTTGCTCCAGGCATCCTAGGCTTCTGGCTCTTCTCTTTGGAGCCCTCAAAAATGCCCCTGTGCCATCTGCTTGAGATTACCCTTCCCACAACACCCTACCATCCTCCCTTCTTCAGTGCTCAGCCTGAACTTCCCTGGCCTTCCAGGAAGGCCCTATGTGGCCTCTTTCAGGTTAACTGCCTACAATGAATATTCTCTCTCAAAACCATAAATTGCACAATTATTTTGTCAATATCTTTCATTATCCAATAGACTATGAACTCCAAAAATACACCTCTTTTCCCACTCTAGGCCATGTTTGCTAGAAGAACTGATGGATCTCTCATGCTTCTTTAATCACCCAACAAGAGATAAAGAGTAGGCCTGAAAGTACAACTGAGCGTTGGAAAAAAAAAACAAAACGGTAGGAAACTGAAAAGGATAGCATGAGGCCAAGGAGAATTTCTGGCAAACACACAATTCACCAGAAGAGTCTGTGAGTTTTCAGAAAGCACAAATGAGTACTTGCATGGCTGCCTGGAGTACATATGCAGTAGAAAAGTGTCAGGATGAGGAAGAATGTGTTCACTCCAAGGATGAGTGTGGCACTGTGAGAAGGGAATGCAGCTCACCTGGACCTGGATCCAGCCACCTAGTGTTTGGACCACTTCCTCTTGCCAGCTGTCTCTGAGAAGGGTAGAAGCTCGAGAAGGCAAAGCTGGTGAAGGAAAAAAAAAAAAAAAGCATGAGATATACCGAATTCACTTTGCAAACCCCAGATTCCTCAGACTAGAAAGGACTACACAACAGGTGAACCTTTATTTCCTCCAGTGGCAGAGGTCAAGTGAGACCGGAAGGAAGAGCCCTCCCTCTCTAGATGGACGGGCCATGGGCATTGCTCCCCGAGGTACAAGCTGTACTGTGGACTGTAATCATAGCCTCTTCCCTGTGGGGTTACCCCAGTGGCTGTGCAAGTCATTATCTGAACATCTTAGAAAGCTTTCTAACAAGCAAAGCAAAACAGTAAAGACACAGGACTTTGGATTAAGAAATCAATTCAAGAACCCGACTTTCCACTTATTAACTATGTGACACTGGTAGTCCCTCTAAAAGAAAAGGACACATGTAGGCAAAACTCAGGAGAAAAAAATAGCTGAAGTGGTATTATTATTTACTTATATATTTATGTACTTATTTACAAACCCCATAGAGTGCTTAACATCTTACTTTCACTGTCTCTGCTACTCCTCACCACAATACCGTTAATTTTCTAAGTCTCCTATTATAGAAAATCAGATGCTCAGAGAACTCAATCTCAGAGTTCATGGCAGACTACTATAGATCAAGCTAACATCACTTTGAAAAACAGAATTTCTACTGACATTTTCCGTGGAGACCATATGGACTAGTGAAACAGATACTCCTTAGAAAAGTACGTTAAAATTCCAGTTTTGCCATCTAATAGCTAGTGATGCAGGCCCATAAGTTTAAGTGCATTGTAAATTTAAGTAATACGAGGAGCTTATCTTTTATTAGGACCTTAGTACTACCGTCATTAGGTAATTACTTCATTCCTTAAGCTTATCTACCATTTTAGAGGTTATCACCCTGCTCCCAAGTGGGTTAATACTACATATTTCAAGTCCCACTGTGCCTCAGTGGGCGCATTCAATCAGTTAGGGGGTACTTCCTGGGGGAAGTACCTTCATGATTATGACTCTAACTCTATATTGATGATATTGACTGGAAGATGTGCATACTTAATTAGGTTTCTCTCACCACCTGGTGGGGAAGGAGACTTCCAATGTTACTTTCTCTACCTAAAAAAAAAAAAAAAAAAAAAAAGGAGAAGAAAAGGAAAAGGAAAAAAGAGGTGGGGGCTTATGAGATGCTTTGGTGGAGCTAGGACTAGAAGTGCCCCGGCTGGAGTCTGGGATACATGTAAGCAAACCCAGGGAGAGCTAGTTCAGTGCTAGTTCACCGTGGTCCTGCAGGGGACGCAGCTACAGGGCCACAAGATGCTCTCCGTGCGCGCAGCTCCCACACCCCCTCCAGCCGCCAGCAGGTAGCCCCACCCAGGAGCCAGGACGGCCCTGCCCCCTCCCCCTAGAAGGACTCTCCCAAACCACACCCCGATGTGCCTAGGGTGCCACGCCCCTCTCTTTTTTGCGCCCTAAATTGTCCAGTCCCAAGATCTTATAGATGTTTTCCTTTGCGTAAACTCCATACTGACCTCAAAGCCTCCACACCTCAAAACTTATGTCACAGCACACCTCCGTCTTCTGGAGACCTGGCCTTCCCCAAATCTATTAAAATATCGATACCTGAACCCCAGTTTTTCAAACAGACCCTCAGGGCTGCACAGATGAATCCTGTCCCTACATTCCCAAGACTTGGCTTTGGTGTCCTTCTGAGGAAAGGTCGTGCCTGCCACCCTGTTGCACAGCCACGGCAGCAAACACTCCGGTCTGGCTAAACTGGCGCCTGCACAGCAAACCTGACTCCTTTTCTCAGCCATGCAAAGGTGGACAGGCCTCTCCAGGACCCCTCAGTCACTTAGGACATGGCAGTCCCACCTTCAGGTCACCCCCTGCAACTCCACAGTCCTTTTTGATGGCGCCTCAGCTGTTAAGACTCAGTAGTCACCTACTGGCCAACATGGCGCAAGGGTGGGCAGGGTCTGCAGCCCCATCAATCTGGACATGAGAGCTCCTCCTTCACACCGCCCCCTGCAGCTCCGCCATCATTCAGATTGCGCCTGCGTAGCAAGCCCCGGCTGCTCCTCTGGTCCCGCCCCCTGCAGCTAAGCCGTCATTCAAGATGGTGCCTGCGCAGTAAGCCTCAGCAGCCAACTCTGGGCCCGCCCCCTGTTGGTCAGCCGTATTTCAAGATGGCGCCTGCGCAGTAAGCCACGGCAGCCACCTACAGGACAACAAACACACCGCTGGGATGGATAGGGGTCTGCAGGCCCTTCCCTCAGACTCACCCCCTGCCGCTCTGCCATCATTCAAGATGCGCCTGTGCAATAATCCTCTAGGGGCTACCCCAGGACTACCCACCCAATGGGTAGGGGTCTGCAGTCTCCTGTTATTCAAAACATGAAAGCCTCTATCAAGACTGCTCCCAGTAATACCACCATCACTAATGGTGACATTTATGCAATAAGCTTTAGCTGTCACCTACTGGTCTTACTATAATTCGAGTGGGTGGGGCTCTGCAGTCCTTCCCTCGCTCCCGCCCCCTGCAGGGCCCCTGTCACTCAAAAGGTGCCGGCGAATTAAGTCTTGGCTGCCACCTGTCGACAGAGTAGGCGGAACTCCTCAGCCCCTCCCCTTGGGCCCAGCCCCTGCAGCCACTCAACGGTAAAGACAGCGCCTGCGCAGTAAGCCTCAGCTGCCACCTGTCGGCCAACAGTGCCAGAGTGGGCGCTGCTGCAGCCCCGCCCCTTGGTCCCACCCCCTACAGCCAGCTCCGCGGTCACTCAGATGGCACCTGCGCAGTAAGCCTCAGCTGCCACCTGTCGGCCAACAGTGCCAGAGTGGGCGCTGCTGCAGCCCCGCCCCTTGGTCCCACCCCTTACAGCCAGCCCCGGGGGGGGGGGCACTCAAGATGGCGCCTGCGCAGTAAGTCTCGGCTGCCATCTGTTGGCCAACGTTAAAATGGGCCGAGTTATATAGCTCCTCCCTCCCCGTGGACCCGCCCCCTGCAGCTCGGCTGTCCTTCAAGATGGCGCCTGCACAGAAGTCTCAGCTGCCACCTGTCGGCCAACAAACAGTACTAGAGTGGGCCGAGCTTTGCAGCCCCTCCCCTTGGACCCGCCCCCTGCAGGTTTGCTGTCCTTCAAGACGGCGCCTGCGCAGTAAGTCTCGGCGGCCACCTGTCGGCTAACAGCACTAGAGTGGGCCGAGCTCTGCAGCTCCTCCCCCCCCTTGGACCCGCCCCTTGCAACTCTGCGTCCTTCAAGATGGCGCCTGCGCAAAAGTCTCAGCAGTCACCTGTCGGCCCAGGAATAGTCAGGAATAGTGCCAGCCTGGGCGGGGCCCAGCAGCAGGGTCAGTTCCCCAAAATGCCCGTGGCCCCACCCCCTCTGCCCCGCCGACAGAGTCTGCGCGGCACAGCTGTGCTACTCCGTGTCTCCAGCATTCCCCTAGCCAAAAGATAGGGCCAGACACACCGCGAGGCGACAACCATAAGAGAAAACTGTGCATCTGCCATGCCCAGATATAGCCAACGAGTAACAGCGGGCACGTCGACAGACTGTAGCCCTGTACTTCAGGACTAACGGTTCCATGGCGGCCGCGACCGCGGCAGCCGCGGCAAACTTAGCACAAGGCCTGGCTTCTCCAAACCACGTGGACCCTGCTGACAAAGCGGTCTCTGGGTCACCAGCCATGGCCCTTTCTCAGAATTCAGAGCTCAGCCCTCAAGCCAATCGGGGTGGCACTGTCACAGCAAGCCTCTGCAGCCAGACCTTTGATTAGCAAAAGTGTGAGGTGTTCAGGACCCTGTAGCTTTCAGTCACTGCATACAACACGGGGTCATCACGGTCCCCCACAGCCCTTAGCCCGGCCCTGCTGTCGCCAGCCAGCCACCATTGCGCCTGCCTGCGCGGCAAACCTCAGCCACCCCCATCAAAGATGGCGCCAAGGTAGGCGGGACTCAACGATAACGTCACACCTGGGCTCGCGGCAGTCTGGACCGCCCTTGGCCCCGCCCCAATCCACGGCCAACCAATCAGGGCAGCGCCTGTGCAGCGAACTTTATCGCCCACACCAAAGATGGCGCCAGTGTGGGCGGGCTCCCCAGTCACTCACAGTCCAGAGAAAATACTCCACAGGCATGAAGCCCTTGGCCCCGCCTCTTGCGGCCCTTAGCTCCTCCCACCGCCACTGCGGCAAAACAAGCCCCGCCCCCCAAACTCCGGCTGGGATGGAGGGACAGCCTGAGGGACGGACGTAGTGATCTGCAGCCCCCAGACCCAGCCAGCCCGCCACTTCCCCAGCACCCACCCTGGTGGGCCCTCTTGACAGAAGTCCGTGGTCATCCCATCCCCGTCCCCCACCTGCACCAGGCAAGATGGCGCAGCAGCCACCCCTACCCCGGTTCCGCGGCCACCTCAAAGGGGCAGCCCATCCCAGAGACCTCGGCTGGACACGCAGGATGGTGCCCACTGCAAGCGCGGCAACCCGCGCCCTGCACCCCTTGAGGACCCCGCCAGGCGGTGTCCGCCAGCCACCTCCCCCTTCCCCATCTGACCAGGGTCCCAGACTACGGCGTGTGACCGCCGTGCCGCCTTAGGCGGCATTCGGACACCGTCCTGACTCGGACGTGCAGGGCGGGGGTCCGGCTGGACTCACCTCCCCTCACCACACCGCCTCGGGCCTCACGGCTCGGCCCGGGCGCAGCCCGCGTGCACGGTCTAGCACGCCCACAGGGCCCCTGGCGCCCGGCGGCGCCACCAGCCCAGGGTGGACATGTCCGCTCCTCAGCTCCGACCTCGTTCTCCCGCGGCTCCCGGCGTCTGCACCGAGCCTCTGCGCGCGACTCCTTGTCAGGCTCTCCGCAGAGGCGGGGCTGCAGCGCAGGCCAATCAGAGGCCGAGCGTCCCACCCGGGCCCCCCTCGCCACGCCTCTGAGTGCTGTCAATCAGGCTGTGGTTGCTGTGGTGACAGCTTGGCGCGAAGGCAGGTTGACGTCAACGAAGCCAACACCAGGGGCCCCTGACAGGGGTCTCGATGAGAGGGTGTGGGGGTGTGTGAGACCCCCACACAAAGAAGGGGGGGTGACACAGAGAAGGGCCGACTAACGACTCCCAAACACAGAACCAATGAAGAAAAAGAAAAAAAAAAACATTTGTCCAAAAAATGGAAATCCTGCGGGCAAAACCATGTACATTGAAGTGTGAAGAACGAGAAAGTGGGAGACGACACTTTTCTGTCCGGGACGTGCAAGAGCCGCGGGGCTGGCCCCTCCGTAAGCCAGGGGCTGGTGGGCTCCGGGCGGTCAAGGCTGCGCCGGAAGCCCGGGCAGCGAGGGAGGCGGCTGGCGCCTCCCGGGAGCGCACTGGCGCTGGCGGACCCGCCGCGCAGTCGGGCGCCGACCGCACGCCGGGCAGGGCGGACCCCGCCGCGTCCCGCACGGAACCCGCGCAGACCCCCACACGGAACCCGCAGAGACCCCCACACGGAACCCACAGACCCCGCCGCGTCCCGCACAGAACCCGCGCAGACCCCCACACGGAACCCGCAGAGACCCCCACACGGAACCCACAGACCCCGCCGCGTCCCGCACGGAACCCGCGCAGACCCCCACACGGAACCCACAGACCCCGCGGCGTCCCTGCACAGATCCTCACACAGGTCCCCGCAGCATCCCGCACAGACCCCACACGGATCCCCGCAGAGTCCCTAACACACCCCTCAATCCGTCCCGCAGCGCCGCACGCAGCCCCTCCGTGTGCACAGGTCCCACAGTGCCCGGGAGACCCCACGAGCCGCCCCGCACACGGTCCCCCGCACAGACCCCGCGGGTTCCCCGCAGCGCGGGTCCGGCACGCCGCTGACCGCCGAGGACACCGGGGAGCGGAACCCCCTTGTCCGGGACTTGGGACAAGCTGTTCACGTTTGTGGGAACGAGCTGGTAAGTGTTTCCATTTGCTTGTTTGCTCAGGATGAACACATTTGCAGGTGAAACTTGTGCAAAACAAGAAATCGCAAACTGGTTACCTCCAAGGAAGAGGAATTGCGGGGGGGGGGGGGAGGATGAAGGGAGGATTTTCCCCCTGCTCCAACCCATACTGTGTGATATAAATACAAGTTTCTTTTCTAGTAGTAAAATCAATGAATTATACAAAGTTCATTAATGTACCATTGATCCAGCTACTGCACTCTCGAAGGTCGAAAGCAAAGATAAACAGCGAAGCGTCAAAGATTGTAGGCAAGCATTTTCGTGGAGCGTCATTTTTTATTAGAAAAGTGTACCCTGCAATTGATTTAAACTGTATTCTGGTCAATCCATACGTTGCAACTTTACGTGGCCAATTAAAAAAAAATGCAGGATTTTAATGTTCAAGGAACAAATTCATAAGATGGTTAATTATAAAGAGCAGGTTACTTATCAGCACACAGAATACGGTGCCCAAAATTAAATGTTCTATTTATACACAGTAAGTATAAATAGAAATGAGTGGTTGCTTGCTACGTTAGGAAGCCACCGGCTTGGGGTGCGGGGCGTTTAAAGCTCCCCAAGTCTGCAACAGTCTCGTCTCGGCCAGCAGCGCCACCGGGAACATCAAGTCGGAATGGAAACCCTGGGCGTGCCGCGCGCCTCCGAAACCTGTTCCCCCTCGGGGGGTTCCAGGGGCCCCGCGGCACGTGAACGTGGTGCCGCCCTTGGGTCAGAGGTGTTCACACCTGGCTACACCTCAGGGCCGGCCCGGGAGCTGCTCCCCCGGGGGCGCCCCGGGCCCCGCGCCGGGTGGCTGTGGAGCTCCCCAGGTGACGCTAATGTCTGGACAGGCTTCGGAAGGCGGTGATTTGTGCACGTTTCCCGACCCCGTTCTCGCCCCTCAAAGGCAGTACAAGTGTCGCTCTGGACCCGGGATCGCTGGCTCCCGGCAGATACCCCAGGCCCTGGGCGCTCCCGCAGAGACCCCCGCTCCGGACCGAGCGGCCTCCCGTCGCGCACTCGCCCGCCTGGCTGCACAGCCTCTCCCCGACCCGCCACCGTCACCCGCCGAAGCTGCGGGGCCGGCCCCTCCGCAGCTAGGAAACTTGACCTGAATCTCGCTCGATCCTTCCGTAACATTCGACATTCTCACTAAAAGAAACGGTAACAAACAAAACCCCACGCTCTCTTCCTTCTCCTGACACGACAGGTCGCCGCCCTGGTTTCCAGGGGCCTCTTCTCCGTCCTCTGAGCTGGCCTGTGCTCGGGTCAGCCTCTAACCGCTCGGGACTCAGTCGCTAGACTTCTCCACAAACACGCGCTTCCGAGGCACGGTCTAAATGTCACCTAGACGCCCACAGCTCCCCAATTTAAATCCTCGGCCGCAGAACTTTGCACAGAGGCTCCTGTATCTGACTGCTCTACCTGCATATCTAACAGGAACTCAAAGCATTTAAAATACTTAATTTCCCCTTTCCTCATTCTATAATTCTATATATTTCTATACGGAGCACCGGTTGCCATAGCCAAAAATCTCACAATTGCTTTTGATTCTTCTCTTCCTTACCGTCACCATCTATTTCATCAGCAAGTCCTGCTGACCCTACATCCAAGACATCCTACATTTGTCCAACGTTTTCCCTCTTGGTGACAGTCCTACTCACCGTGATTTCCCCTGGTTATTGGCCTACTCACTGGATCACCTGCTTCCACTCCCTCCCAATATTCTCTACACAGCATCTAGGGTGATGTTTAAAGACGGGTAAGGTGTCATGTTCCAGCTTGAATTACCCGTCTCCTACCCCTGTCTCCTACCAGTCGCACTTAAATAGAAGTCTAAAATATGTACCATAAACAAGTCAAAAGAAAAGCCATCAACATCCTTTGTTATGGAAGTGTTACATACTGGCACTGGAAAATTTAAGTCTTTTCCTTCATATTTCTGCTTTTTATTCCTTAAGAAATCCCTACCCACACCGAAGTCATAAAGATACAAGGGTATTAGCCTTGGTGGTGGTGGGTTTTTTTTTTTAATGTTTACTTTTCTTTTCTGTATGTTTTGTGGTAGGGATCTAATTTTCCTACTGACTATGTTTCTGTATATGAATAAGCCTGTTCCAAAACTCTCTAGTCTGTCCCACTGGCCCATTTGTCTATCTCTGTGTGTTAACACATCACAGTAATTATTACAACTTTCAGTATCTTGACATTGGAAAGGGCATCTGTCCTACTTTGCTTCAAAAGTGTCTTTCAAAAGTGTCTTTGGCTATTCTTAGCCCTCCATCTTCAAATGAGTTTTAGAATTAGCTTGTCAAATTTGATGAAATATGCTACCTGAGGGCACCTGAGTGGCTCAGTCAGTGGAGCATGTGACTTTTGATCCCTTGGGATTGTGAATTCAAATCCCACATTGTGTAGAGATAACTTAAAAAAGAAAAACAACCGAAAAAGATATCCTACTGGATTTCAATTTGAAGTCTTAGGAAGTCTTTTTTCCTATTACTTATCTAATATGTTATTTGAGGGTTACAACATGGTATAGCTGGTTTTTTTTTTTTTTAAAATAACTTCAGGTTTACAGGAAATTTGCAGATAGGATAAAGATTCCTTACTCAGTTTCCCCTAATGTTAACATCTTCCATAACCTTGGCACATTGTGAAAATGAAGGAATTAACCTTAGTACGAAACTATTAATTAAATTACAGACTTTATTTGGATTTTACCTGTTTCTATAAATCTCTTCTTTCTGTTCCAGGATCCTAGCCAGGACACATTATTATTTCTCCTTAGGCAACTCTGGGCTGTGATAGCCTCTTAGTATTTCCTTGTTTTTCATGGCTTTAACAGTTTTGAGGTACTAGTCAGGTTATTTTACAGAATGTCTCTCAATGAGTTGGTCTAGTATTTTCTCATGATTTCTCTTGGATTAGAAGTTTTTGAGAAGAATTATCTGCTCTTGCTTCTTTTATATTGATTTTGTATCCCGTGAATTTGCTTACCTATCTTATTAGTTCTAATACTTGTTAGTTTGTCTATAGATTTTCCTGGATTTTTTTATAATGTTAACATCTTTATTAATGACATTTTTTACTCTGACAGTCGTAACTCATTTCATTAGCATTAATGCATTGACTAGGACCTCTGAAGTAGGGATACTTCTTATCTCTCACCAACAAGTAAAAATGCTCACACGCTTTTTTTGTAGAAACCCTTTACTGGGGGTTAAGGAAATTCCCTTGACTTCTGGTTTTCTAAAAACTTTAGCATGAATAAGTTTAATTTTACACAATGACTTTTCTATATCTATTGGGAAGATTAGACTTTATTATTTTATATAATCTGTTAATGTGGAGAATTAAGGCAACTTTTCTGTTGTTGAAACATGTTTGCATTCCTAAACCATACTTGACCATGATTACGAGGGTCTGATTTATATACACATACAACTGGATACTACTGGTTTATATTCCATGTTTGCTTTTTGCATCTAATTATACTATGCTTGCCTGGTTTTAGTATCAAGGTTATACGGGCCTTATAAAATGACTTGGATTGTTATCTTGCTGTTATATTCTCCACAATTGTTTATAAAAAAATAGGTGCTTTCTGATTTTTTAAAGTTTAGTATAACTCACTGTAAAATCCAGATCTGATGTCTTTTTACATGGAATATTTTGGACTTCATTTCCTCGTAAGTTTGAGACTTATATTTCTGCTTTGACTTGAGTCATTTTGGTCATTTATATTTTCCAAGAAAACTGTCTATTTCACTTTACTAGCACAGAATTATTCACAGCATTCTCTTTGATTTTTAATATCTTCTGCATTGGTAATATGT